TTTCATCATTTTTTATATTTTCTATCTTCCTTATTATAGTGACAGTAACAGAGTTTTCAAATCGCTGTCTAAATTTAAGCCACAGAGACGGCACCACTTATCTTCTAGCCCAACTCTTTCAATGAAGGTAAACGCACAGAAGTGCTCATAGACACTGAGCCACCCTAACTGACAGTATCATCTCATCTTTTACCATGTAAACAAATGACTTTACGTGAGATAGTCTCACAAGACACACTTTTGACTACCAGAACGAAAGTATCAGTAAAAAAAATCAAAAAGGTAAACATGAACTCAACTTGATGTAACTGTACATTCCCAAATCTTAGGCTATTTTGAAATAATCTATTCAGAATTTGGTCAGTTTTGTGTAGTTTGTAATGTGGCTGACTGTCGTTGAGCAGGTTTGTGCTGTTAAGGATTCGACTCCTATATCTCCTACTGAAGCTGTGAGTGACACCAAGAGCATCTCAGTCATTGCAGCAAAACATCGCTCACACCTAGCAAAGGAGACCAACTCCAGAGTGGCTGGTCTGGCTTTGGCCTCAGGGCTCAAGTCCTCAGTGAGCATGGACAGTCTAGATTCTACTTTGGCAGATGAGTCGACTGAGGTCAAAAGAAACCCACCAAGACATGGAGGCAGGTCCCAGTCAAAACAGGACTTAAAGACATCGGAAGGCAGAATGGAGCTCTCTGAGAGACACCAGCACAAGAAACGGTCCATATTTTCTGAAGCAAGCAAAAGGGTATAAGCACATCTATGTGTACCTCCATCTCTGTTGTTTCAGAGTTTTGAATTGGCTAAATATACACTACTGTTAAAAAATTTGGGATCAGATTTTTTTTAAAAGAAATTAATACTTTTATTCAGCAAGAATGCATTCAATTGATCAAAAGTGACACTGTTGCAAAAAAAAATCTATTTAAAATAAATGCTGTCCTTTTCAACTTTCTATTTATCAAAGAATCCTGAAAAAATGTATTGTTTCCACAAAAATATTAAAGGGCACCTATTATGCAAAATCCACTTTTACATGGTGTTTGGACATAAATGTGTGTTGGCAGTGTGTGAACACAACCACCCCACAATGATAAAAATCCACCCACTCCTCATTTTTTAATCCCCTTTAAACCAAGTCAGTCTCACTAGGCCTGCCGTTTTGATTCTCATGCAGTGTGACGTCACATTGCATAGGGCCGGTGTTCTGTCGATTTGTGCTACCCTGTCAGATTTTGTGGGTACAATTCGACAACGAAAAATGCTACCTGTAAAATTATGGTTTATTAAAGTCTACACCTACCCCAACCCTAAACCTACCCTTAAAATAATGCAGATAAATTAAATATTGTTATTTAGTGTGAGAAAAAGGATGGAATATTGATGTGCGCATGCACAGTAAACCCTGGTAGGACAATCTGACGGGTAGGATAAAATGTCCCGCGGTGTGAGCTCTGTTATTTCGTCCCACTTTCAGTGCAATTGGCTTCCCATATGTACGGCTAAACACCGGTTCTCTCGCTCTCAGTTATGTTGCTTCTACCAGCTGTTGTTTAATACCGGCTGTGCAATGCAGAGAGACATATACGCGATGCCCTCTTCTAGAGACGGGGCGGGAATATGCAGCACATTTGCATTTAAAGCGATACACACCAAAACAACTCTTTTTTTAGACACACCCCAAAAATGAAATTTTCCAGCTGTTATAATAAATGATCTGTTGGGTATTTTGGGCTGAAACTTCACAGACACATTCTGGGGACACCCAAGACCAATCTTGTAAAAAGGGGCATAATAGGTGCCCTTTAAGCAGCACATCTGTTTTCAACACTGATAATAAGAAATGTTTATTGAGCATCAAATCAGCAGCAAGTTGTCAATTTCAAGTAACATTATCTAGGAAGCTGCTAAATTTGATCTGTTCATACCACAGCAGGTACAAAAACCAAGACAGAACCCTTCCAGATATCCAGCTTTGGAGAGCATCTCAGACAACCGGCTTGTGAGACCAGCTTTAAACGTGATCCAGCCACTCAACAGTGGTGCTGGAAACCCTGTAACACCCCCAGTAGCTAAAGTGAAACACCCTGTCTCTCACTTTACAGGTACAGAACTACAGCCGTTCCAGTTTCACCGCCGCACACTGTTTTCCAAACTCAAGCCAAATAGTTATTCAGGCTAGCATTTGGATGTGATCTCTGTTAGAAAATTCAGAACTTCTCTGTTATCAAAATTGAGATTTTCTGTGTTTTAATATGGGTGCCAAAATCAGTATGTGTCGCTTTCATGCTGTAGATGTGAAATTGGCCTAAAAATTTGCAGATTTTGATATTTTGTCAATATGAATTTAGGAGAAGTGCAGCTTGAGAAGTTAGAGATCAGAGGAATGCCACCCAGCACCATCCATCAAAAGCACTCAGATATCAAACGAGGACAGGCAACCTACAAACAACAGCGAGGTGAGTTTTTTTTTTTCTTCAGCTACGTTCTTTTATTTTAATAGTGAAATGAAGTTGGCAGGTTGTGGAGTGTTTTGTAGTCCAAGCCAAGTTAACAAAAATGTTTTTTAGGCCCAGGAGATGTTTTTTACTCCAGCAATCTCCTACAGCATCCAGGCAATAACAAGAAGTCCGCCAATGAAAATCCTAGACAAAAAGGAATGGCCGATGTTAACAGAAAGAATGAAGCACGGCAAAAAAACAAACATACTGTAAAAAAGTCATATGTCTGAGTTTTTCGTTCTTGTACAAGAGAACATGATCTATTTTTACACTAAAATGTACAGCTGAGACTAAGTTGTGAAATGATTTTAATGTTATTTAATAATGATCACGTGTTGAAAATCTTAAAATTCAAAAACCTTGAGATATTAAGTAGAGATTTTATACAGTTTGTCTCTGCTTTGAAACATATTTTTTGATGATTCACATTTGATGCAAATTTATTTGAAAAAAAACCAAAGCATTGAAATATACAGTACATGTACATAAGCTTGGATATACAGGTTGTTTCAGAATGGCTTCATACTGAGTAAACTCCTGCAACACTGATGAAATGAATATGGTTTCATTTATTTAATAAAAAATATTTTTAAATTTTACAATTTCCAGTGTGAAAGCCCATATTGGTTTCTCCATATTGGCACAAATCAATCCCTGATCAATCTTAGTGAAACTGAGTGTGTCTGGTGTTGAGCAACATCAGGTTACATCACTGTTCAATGATGTATTAGTACAACTATTGGATAAATAATCTAAATTTGCTGATGAAATGAATATGGTTTCATTTATTTAATAAAAAATATTTTTTAATTTTACAATTTCCAGTGTGAAAGCCCATATTGGTTTCTCCATATTGGCACAAATCAATCCCTGATCAATCTTAGTGAAACTGAGTGTGTCTGGTGTTGAGCAACATCAGGTTACATCACTGTTCAATGATGTATTAGTACAACTATTGGATAAATAATCAAAATTTGCATATTACATTGGAAAAGGTGACAGACTACATCAGTATACCACAGCATGAAGCTGTTATCTAAACCTTTTAGCATGTCATGTTATTCTGTACCTCTTCAAGTGAACCAGTCCCCTTATTGATGCATTCTCATGAAAATATGGCTAGTTAAATAATTGAGATGTGACTTTATTTAATAATCGCTTACATTAATACAGCCACAATAATGTCTGATATGGCTTGACAGGGAACAAGGTCTTAAGTGAATCCATGAAATTCATGGATCATTGCATTTCTCTTTCAAATCCAGAAATGCTTTATTGGCATGATTGTTGACATTAAGTATATTATAGTATTTTATGTATAATATTTATTTATAATATTATAGTGACGTAAATAAGGCCACGTTCACACGGCAGCAGAATATGGTTGTCAGTCCTGAATTTGAGTCCTTGATATACTTATGTTCACACACAATATGGTAATTTACGGGAGTGACACCCGGAAATTTTCAGGACTCATAAACGCATTTATGGAAAGCTCACACTGTGTAAACGGAACAGGAGCCACTCACAAACATGTGTCTATATGCATTGCGGTTTTCACGTGTGGTTTAGGTATAACTTACAATAATGTAGATATGGGCTGTGTGTCATCTGGAGGTTTTACATCCAGTTACTGTAGTGGAGTTGCTCCTGTCAGTTTTATGTGCTTTGCACGACTCGAATGTTCCGCTCTCCACCCAAACATAAAAGCTGCAGTCGGTTAAAGAAGATTTGAGGGATGAACTCACAGCTCGACTGGATACGGACTTGACTCCCGTTGCAAGTTCAGTTTTTTTAGATGCTAATGTAAGCTGCTGTGTGAACGGGACATTTCGAGACTCACACTAGTTAATGCGGTTCAGTGTGAACGCAGCCTATATGAATGGGGGAAAATATAGTGCTTATAGGGAAATAATCAAATACTGTAAATAAGGAGGGGGGAGCCAATGTAGATACAAAAAAAATGTTTAAAGTAATAAATCACTTATGAAATTATGAAAATAAAGAAATTAAAGTTTAAGTTAAAAAAAGGAAATGTAAATGTTTTCTAAACGAATTCCCTTTTAAAGTTAAAAAAAATGTGTTTGAATTGGTATCTTCCTTCTTACATACTGTAAAAACAATCCCACTGAAATCCTATGAGAGGCCACTTGATCCCAGGGGTTCAGTTATTTTCGTAACCGAGTACACAAGTGAACCATTGAATTTTATTTTGAAATAAAATAACTCAGTTATTTTGTGACAATGCTGTTGGTGGTCATTTTTTGTCATTCTGAAGTCAACACTACAAGCCGGTCCGTTTATTTTCAGCTGTGGTTTCCTGTGAATATTTGTGGAAGAGAGCTGAACTCTGGAATAACAGCATATGATTTAGTTCTGGCTGAAAGGCGGAGCATTTCTCCTGTGTTCACACCCTACTGTGAGTTTACATATGTAGCTTCAAGTATTACTGCCCTCTTAACAGTTTGCACGTGGAACATTCTGAAATGTAGAGCACAAGAAGACAAGATTTAGGTGAGTGATGGATCATATTTTATGGGAACCGATTTTGAAATGAAACCGTAATGTACATGTCCTTATTTTGTGTTTTTCTCCAGAATTCTCAACTTGACTCATTGCAGAGATGATAATGCTACATATTCCAGCTGGGTAGTTTCCATAGTTTCCACATCATTCAGTAGTTTCCAGTGAAAATGCTAAAGCAGCTGCAGTTTTTCCTTCTGTTGGGAACATTATTTATCATGTTCTTCATAATAGTTCACTGGGATGACGTGAGAGATGGGACTTTTTATCTGCACGTGGCTCCATCATCTCCTGCATTTCCCACAAACATGATGTCCTCTGGACACTGGATAAGTGAGGATTCATTTCTCTGGAAAGAGTGAAGCAGGTCCGTCAAACCAAACCTGACAATCATCACAACTCACCTAAAACATGACCGAACACAAACTTTTACGCAGTCTTCTCCAACACACCTCGAACTGCGTCAAGCACATCGTAGACATTTAATAAGAGAACTATGCTCAGCCAATAGCAGCTTCAACTTCCCTGGAAAATTTAAGACATTTGACCAGATTCCAAGCAAAGCCCTGGACCATCTCAGTGTGGATGATCATCATGGTGTTATTTACTGCTTTGTACCGAAGGTAGCCTGTACCAACTGGAAACGAGTCATGATTGTGCTCAGCCAGAGCCTGAAGGCACCTGATGGAGCTCCGTATCTGGATCCTCTAGACATACCATCAGCGTTATCCCACAATGCTACTCTGCATCTGATATTTAACAAGTTTTGGAGGCTGTTTGGTCGTTTCTCTCGTCCTTCAATGCATCACAAACTGAAGAATTACACTAAGTTCCTTTTTGTACGGGATCCTTTTGTACGACTTATTTCTGCTTTCCGAAACAAGTTTGTTCTGCCTAATGAGAATTTTTACAGACAGTTTGGCTCTGTAATGCTTCACCGTTATGCTAATATTTCAAAGCCCCCTGACTCCGCTCAAGAAGCCTTCGCCGCAGGTATCAGATTGTCCTTTACTCACTTTATTAAGTACCTGTTAGATCCACAGACTGAGGAGGAGAAGCCATTCAATGAGCATTGGCAGCAGATGTACAGACTCTGCCATCCGTGCCAAATTGAGTATGACTTTGTTGGGAAACTGGAAACACTTGATGAGGATACAGAACATTTGTTGAAGATTCTTGGGATGGAAAATCAGGTTCGCTTTCCCCAAGGGTACCGCAACAGGACAGCTGCAAACTGGGAACGAGACTGGTTTACAAACATTTCAGTAGCTGACAGGAGAAAACTGTACGATCTTTATGAAGCAGACTTCAGATTATTTGGATATGACAAACCTGAGACACTTCTGGACGAGTGACAGAAACAGTTGTTCTTTAAAAGAAATTAGCCTACATGTATATAATGTGAAATAAAAGTGGATTGTACACTTAAACATTTTCTAATTTATTTGACTAAAACAGTGAATTGTCAGGTGCACATTTTTAGATTTCATATAAAACTTGTTATAAAATATATGTTGTGTTGTATTGCTGATGAATGATTTGAATAAAAAACAAACTGATTAATGTTTCACTCGTGGAAATTTAGTAATAAAATTACAGTAAAATTACAAATTAAATGAGCTCAGGTAATGAAATTGAATTATCTAAACTGGTTACAATAGACCTTATGGGTAGCGCCATACTGATTTTTTGACAGAAATTAAAACAATGGCATGCACTGCATAAGGTCCTACTAGTTCATGCAATTTTCTATGTTTAAAACCATTTTGTCTACTACTTTTTTGGAAATATGTTTTGTCAGCTGAATAATCAGTATGTTGTTAAACAACAGTACAACTGTTGTACCTCTGTCCCTCGATTTTGTCAAAAATTAAATATGGCTCTAGTACCCTGATTAACGTCTACTGAATAAACCAAAGCAGTTATTTGTTTTGGCCACAAGGGTGCAGTGTGTTTCAATTGATTTGTTGCAGAAAGAGTGGTAGCACTCAGATGGAGTTCTGAAACTTGACTGAACTTATGAATCTTTAATGCTAGAAAAAAAATCAAATGTAGAATTTATGAAATGAGCCATATTTTGACAGCTCTCTAAGGCCCAGTGAAAGTGAAGGTTCTTGTTTTTATTTGAAACGACATCTCTGACCAAAAGTAGAGAGAATAAAATAATTGGAGACGGTTACATTTCACATGATCTGGAAGTGTAATGTCAGAGTTCTTATTAGAGGAAAATATGACATTTTTATTTCAAAAGTTTTAACAATATAAACTGTTTTCAGGAATAGATTTTGATTTTGTCACTACCAAAACATTTGGTTGCATTTCGGTAGTGACGACTTTGTTTTTTTCGGGGGGTTATGTCATGAACATGTCATCATTGTTTCGGTAGAGCTAATCATTCACTCACCCCATCTACAATCCCTGCCAGTACTGAGACTTGAGCCTGCAACCTTTGGGTTACAAGTCCGACTCTCTAACCATTAGGCCACAACTGCCCCTAGATTATTAACATTTAATGCGATTATCAAATGAAATACAAAATATATTGTTGTTGTAATCTGTTCACTAGTTATTTCAATTGGACTATGCAATAATAAATAATGGTACTGAACATGTCATCATTGTTTCGGTAGTGACAAAAGGGAACACATAATCCTCATATTTGGGTGAAATAAACAAAATTTTAGTACAGTTTCTTTTTTTTTTTATGTTTTAGAGTGTTTTAGTATGCAAGTTAACATTCTGTAATGTGATGTGGTTGCTACAAAAGCATTACTGTCACTACCGAAACATGGGATGGTTTGTCAAAAATAAAGTATACTGAATTATCAACTAAGATGTCATGTTTTTGGTTCAATGTATATTCAAACTAATGAATCCTTAACTTTGAAATCAGTATGATCAACTTTTTGCCTTTTACAAAGAAAAATTGGATTCAAAATACAACAAATCTCATAGATTACACTTGAAATATTGTTAAAAATTTAATTGTTATTGATTTACCTCTGAAAGAAAATTTAATAGCAAAAATATATATTTACAATGTAGATGTAAAAAATATTAATAGGTCAATATAACCCTTCTAATTAAATTATTATTACT